GAGAGAGAGAGAGAGGACGATAATGATGCTGTCATTGAGGATGGAAACGTCGGGGCATCTGAGTCAGGAGACTTCTTATCATCGTGCTTCTAACTGCGCAAAAATACTTCCAGTGAAAAATATCGTTAATGCTACGGTCAGCACGGTTGGCGATTCTCTCTCTTTCTTCGTTCTCGTCTCGTTCTGCAACCGTCTACGAGACCGAAGAAAACTTCTTTGACTCCTCCTCCCATTGTTTTTTCTTTTCCTTTTCCTCTTTCTTCGTCGTGATCTTCCGCGCGAGAGAGACACCCCTTTTTATAAAACCGAGGCGCCCAAAGAACGCGGCGTGTGCCTGCGTAAACAAGTCGTTTATCGACTATAAATACATACGAGTCGAACGTGTGTACGCAGGTGTCGTCTGGGTCACGTGTGCCCGGACAAAGAGTTGGTAGAGAGAAACCGAGCTCTCTTGGTGTTGTCGCGTGTTCCTCCAGCGCGAATTCGACGTCGCCTTCGTGTTTTGACTTGCGAGCGATTCTTCGTGCTTGCTAAATGGAGACGTTGCGATGTGATGTATAGTATAATACTAGCTGTAGCGTGTGTGGTGGTTGTGTAGGTTTTTATATTAAAGAGCAGCGGGCATGCGTTGACATTACGCCGCGGTCAGAAGCGTTTTCTTTTTTTTTTTTTTTTTTTTTTCTCACGACGCGAATACGTGTTCGCGTGTTGTAGAATTTTTAATTTTCAGATATAAATATTTGTGTCACGAGTAATTTTATTATATCGCGTAAAATATGTAGTTTTATATAAGTATAAAGAATTATATAGAATTTTATGTACATTGTTATACAAACGTTTCTTCCCGTCTATTTTTTTTTTTTTTTTTTTAAATAAAATATTAGAATATAAGGAAAAACTGATTTTATTAGTTTTAAATTAAATCCAAGTTCAAACATGATTTGTTCTCATGTATTTCAATCTGTAAAAAAAAATTTTTTTTTAAATGTATAATAAAAAAAATTACGGATTTATTTTTAGTAGGAAGTGATTTTTGGCCCACACTGTATTATATATAAGTATTACATTACGTTATATCACAACGATTTGATTCTATTTGCATTCTTTGTTCATGGTTGATGAGAAATTTTATGTTCATCATGTAAACGTGATTTTGTATTATATTTCATTTTATGTAAATTTTTATATTCACCGATATATACAGGTTAGGATGTTAGAAACTTATTGATGTTCTGTCGTTTCAAAAGTTTTTTCTTTCCTTTAACATGGTCTTTGGAAGAAACAGAATTGTTATTTCCTAGCACCTGACTGTTAAAACACAAAGACCGGACAATGTAAAATGTAAATTTTTTTTTATCGCTGCCAGTGTCCAACGAGATAGATAGGTTAATTTTAGAATGTAAATGTTATTCGCATGCTTTGTCGTCGATGCATAACTTAAAACTTCATCTCGCCAGGACTGAGATTTCCTTCCTTCGGACGCGGTTCCCGAAACGAAACCGAATATCCAAAGCTGTTTCATTTTTCCCAGTTCCTTTCCCGATTGGAATTTTCGAAAGGAGTTCAAGGCTGTCAAGTTCCTTTCGCAAGTTTCGGTTTACGACCGTGTTTCGTCGTTTCGCCACTTCTAAAATTTGCAATTTCTTTCTTCTTCAACAAGCAATGTGTATGTTTGACTTTCTTCTGAAACGATCTCTGGAAGAGAAACTGAATTAAAAATCAAGGTTTAGCATCACGACTTACACATAGGTGGGGGGTTATCCAGTGACATACTGAACGTTCATTTCGTGTCGCGAAACGCGACACACACACACAGAGTGTTGTGTTGGGTCGGATTTCGGGGCTCGGCCATTAGCGGCGCCGAGGCGCGACGCGCGCGATAGGCAAAATAGACTGATTAAAATTCCAAGGATGGTCTCGCTTGGCCTTCAAAAGCTTTAACAAGCTGCAGCCCGGATGCGCGTGTAACTCTCACGTCCTTGCAACGGCGCACCGGGTTCGCAAATCACTTTGCGAGACGCGTACGCGTCCTTGGTTCGTTCCTCTGCCAGAGTCGTTCCACCGGTCGTGCCCGTGCTATCTGCTCAGATTAAATTTCAGACTTCGTCGTCTCTTCCTGGCGGGGGGGGGGGGTGGAAGAAGAAGAAAGAAATATTCCTCTTCGTTCAACTTTGTTGCGCATTATTTTGAAAAATCGCAACTCGGAGGAAATACGCTTCCTCGGGACGTGTTTTTCTTCTCCTTCTTCGTCTTCGATTCTCGACGAAATTTTTGTTGGTAGAGTAGATTGATCAGCAATTTTTGACAAGTTAATAAGTTGCGAAACATTTCGGTACAGAAATTGACTTGAGAAAGAAAAAAACGAAAATGAATTATTTTTTTTTTTTTCTCTTTAGTTCTCTGCTTCTCTGATTAATACAATCTGTTGGAACAAGTTGAAGCTTTAAATTCACATTAAAGGAAGACCAATTGCTACATTTTGTAGTATAAAAACGAGCGATTAGAAGTATTCATTCATCAAGAATCCAATTTCTACGAAATATTTAAAGAATGAAATAGTTCTTGCCTCGTATGTGCGTCACTCATACTTCAAATAAATACGCTTTCATAATATAAAGTTTTGCATCTACGAATTTTATAGGAAAAATGATTGAAGTAGACGTGTCTACTCCTACGTTCGATCTGCGTGAAATCTTCTCTCTGTTAAATTTTCGCGTTTGCAACTCTATTGGTACGGAACTATGTGGAATAGTTAACGAGCTTCGAGAAACTTACATCCGATTAATCGACTGCACGCGATAAATTACGGAGAAAGTACAGTTGTGTTTGATAAATGGATAAGCTTATACTTGCATACTTATATATTTCCTTATATACTTGTGTACTCCTCGTATACTTCTGTACTCCTTGTATATTTATATATTTCTTATATACTTGTATACTTGTTTCTTATATACTACTAGTATACTTGTTTCTCATATACTACTAGTATACTTGTATACTTCTTATATACTTATACTTCTCGTATACTTATACTTCTTGTATACTTATACTTGTTTCTTATATACTACTAGTATACTTGTATACTTCTTACATACTTATACTTCTCGTATACTTATACTTGTTTCTTATATACTACTAGTATACTTGTATACTTATACTTCTCGTATACCTATACTTGTATATTTATACTTCTTGTATACTTATATATTGTACATTTATATACTTGTACATTTATATACTTGTATACTTGTATACTTGTATGCTTGTATACTTATACTTCTTGTATATTATATATTTCTTGTACATTTATATACTTGTATACTTATGTTTTTTATATACTAGTATACTTATATACTTGTATACTTCTTATATTCTTGTATACTTATATTTCTTGTACATTTATATACTTGTATACTTATATTTGTATATTATATACTTGTATACTTATTTGTATATTTCTTATATACTTGTATACTTATATACTTGTATATTTATATTTGTATATTTCTTATATACTTGTGTACTTATATACTTCTTG